TTATGCTACTATTCCTAAAACTAGATTTACCCTATAATACCCAACTTAATATAGTAAAATGGAGACATAAATTTTATTTGTGATTTATTCTAAGATACCTGGGAATCCAAGAATGATATTGAATTCTTAACATTATAAAGAAAAGTGTTTGTATTTATAAAACATAAAACCTTCCAATACATATTGGATCAGCATCACTTCATCCAACATAACATCCCCCCTGCCTTGCTATGCAGTATGTCCTGTCGCTTGTTAATTGAGAGAGAAGGAGGAGGAGGAAATCATCTTAGTTGGTTGTTTTAGTAACAACCTACTAAAATAAAAAGTAATAGCAAAAACTGTTTGTGAAGACTATTAAACTAATATATTGAAGATTTACCTCTGAGACACATAGTTATCAGAAACACTGAAAATTAAAGGTAGATCAGGATTAGATATCCATTTATACTTCCAAAGGAGGCTGCAGCTATCTTTTTACTTGTGAAATATTAGAAGTTCAAAAACAAGCTTTCTGTGTGATTTGTTCTGGAGAAAACGTAACATGACTTAAAATTCTCTCTGTATTTTATAAAGAGTAGATGCAAAATATTCATTGTTTCATCATCAAAGCAGGTAAACCTGCTTATACACATTAATGCTTATAAAAAGTTGTACTAAGTTCTTTATAGTAGTATAGTGGGTGTATCACTAATGCCTAATTCAATCTCCTCCTTTGAAAGAAAAAAAAAGAAGGAAGAGAGGGAGGGAGGGAAGGAAAGGGAAGAGGAAGAAGAAATCAGGGCAGATCTTTAGCAAGGCAAGAATGTGTCCTTGACTATGCAGCCTACTTTTTCAGGGTCAGGAGAATACTCGGTGTCACTACTGGGTGTTTAGTTTTCTCATTTATGAATCACGACTGTGTAGCCTGTGGCAGTAGCAAAGGTAACAGGCCACCAATGAGAAGTTAGTTCAGCTCGACTTGAGTTTTAGAGAAAGCCAAAGGAAAATGGATTCCTACGAAATTATATGGAATGACTGGATTCCTATGAAATCTTAATGAGCAGAGGCAGCATTGTCTGGCATCGGCCTAAGGACCCACAGGAAAACTCTAGACAGGAAGTTAAGTCTACCAAGGACTTTCACTCTATTTTATTTTTATTTTTACAAAGTTTAAAAACTGTGTGGCCAACAGCACCTATGGCCCTATTTTGCAGTGGTGGGCTTGCAATCAGCCAGACCACGGCCTCTAGGGAACCAAGCCTGCTAATATGAAAGCTCAGCCTTGACAGAAAGAAAAAAAAAGCACAAGGGAAGTATGGGAGGTGACCAGGGCTTGGAGGGGCACTTGCCCGGAGCAAATACCACGGGAGCTTTTAGTGTGTTCTTTGAGAGGCGTGCTTTCTTCCTTTTGGCTTTCATTTATCTGAGGCTCCGATAAGATTGATGGACCGCTGCCCTGCTCCTAAGTGTTAGGGAGTCTGTGGAGGGAAGGATGTCATTTAGCAATATACGATGATAATTCAAAACATTCTGCAGGGCTTAAAAGCATAACCACTTGTCAAATGTTCACTCATCAGCTCTTGCCCCTCTGTAGGCATGCGTTAGGCCAGAATGGAGAGTGGTGTGAATCAAGACCAAGGGGCAACGCAGCTGTGGGTCCACTGTCAGAGTAAACCTTAACACAGAGGCAACAAAGCTTGTGAGAGCATAAAATCCATAAGTGTATGAACCACTTCTCCAAAAAGCACTCTTCAGAACCAAAATCAGCAAATCACTGTGGGTATGCAGTGTGGGGCCCTACTTGCATGCCGTCTTGTTTGTTCTTCCCAATGTCTAAGGGTCAGGTTCCTGAAGGGGTCGTGTTAATTACCCAACGCCTCCTGTGCCATCATCACAAATCCCCAGCTCCAGCCAGGTCAGTTGAGCGGCCAGCAGGGCAAAGCCCAACAGACTCCAGCACTGACAGTTGTCCACCAGAGCCACATTTCAACCTATCAGACTAGTTCAGCGATCACCGAAAAGGTGCTGGATTCAGTTTTAAGGATGGAACAGAGGTCACGAACATGACTTAAGGCGTCTCTGTTGCCACGTCTGGTCCCCCGCACTGTGAATCTCTGATAACAGATGATAAAAATAATAAATAATCTCTCATTTGGGTGGTGCAGTATTTGTTAGCAATGAGTGTGGGGTACTTTCAGAAGACCCTTTTGTGGTTCTTTATCTAATCACAAGGCCCAGGAAACTGATAGGCATTTATGGGTACACAAGTGCCAGACTCTGGTGTCAGCCAAGTTGGGGTGACTGAGTGTACGATAAACTCAGTACTCAAGTATTTATTGACAGACCGTAATCTGCTCTCTGAGCTGGGTGCCATAAATATTTCATGGTTTTGTCTTTACTTATTTCACTTAATGCACACAACTTATCATGTTATACAACCAGATAACCCATGTGGTCATAAAGTTATAAAAAGATAACCCTGAGTCGTAGCAATATACACATTTTAGCTTTCATGTTTTATCCTGTAGCAGAACAGTCAATCATTTCTACACACTTAAATTAATAGAATGTGAAGGGAATAGTTCATTTATAGTACAAATAATCTCCTTAAAGTTTAGTTTTACCATAGGGTTGGGATGAATAAAATCTTTGTTCTCATAAACCTATTATATTTTATAATAAAATTTAGTGATTCCTTATTTAAACATTAACAAACTTAGTAAGCTAAACCTCACACTGAAAGTGTAGAACATATCACTTTTTGGAAATGTAGCCATGGCTTGAAAGGCCACATTCAATTAAAAAAAATTAAATTGTAAATTCTGTGAATCAGGATACCAAGAGAACAGGTTAGGTTCTTAGTAGCTTTAATCTAGCACATATCATGGTATCAAAGTATTACTTATCAATAATGTTTTTGAGAATGTAGGCCTTTAGTTGCTTGTAATAATTTTTATTTCTAGCACCGAGAATTAAATTTTACTCAATTTAAAATTGTAAAATAAAATTAAGGAAACTCTTGGAACATAACAAAAGAAATGATAGAGAATGTATGATGACAAAATTCTTTCAGAATGGGGCAGGGACTTAGTTCAGTGGTTTTGCCACCTGCTGTGCAAGTGCAAAGACCTGAGTTCGATCCCTGGTACCAAAAAAATAAAAAAAATTCTTTCGGAATGGAACAGAGATATCGATATCTTTAATAATCAATATAAGAAAACTAATTAAGATTCACATCCTGAATTCATAACATTTCAGAAAGATCTCCTTCAGGCACCAGGGATTTAGCTCAGTGGTGCTGTGTCTACCATGTAAGCAGAGGGTCTTGAGTTCAATCCCTGGTACCAGAAAAAAAAAAAAAAAAAAGCTGAAAGATCACCTTCATTATCAATCATATCAATGAAGGATTTTACAATCACTAAATGAACAAATTACCATTTTCAAACTTATGTTTGCAATTTAATGTTTCTTTTAAGCTGTACTCTCTAATACTTAAAATCCCTCTTTACTTAGTTGCCTTAAAATATTCCAAATGGGGCCTGGGATTTAGCTCAGTGGTTCTGCCACCTGCCGCTTGCCTTGCAAGCGCAAGGTCCCAAGTTCAATCCTCGGTACCAAAAAAAAAAAAATTACAAATGACTTAGGGGTAATCAAAAAGGAAAATGTTGATTAACAAAGCAAATACAACAAAGTTAGTTACTGATTCCATATTTTCTAATTTGCTTCAGCTGTTGCTGCGGTGTGAATAATGCTTTTATACCCAGTAAGAGTATACATGGTAGTAAGGACAGAAAATTGACCATTTCATCTGTCCAAACTGTTAAAGATACCTACATTCACCCTTTGAAAAAGTAGTATTATTGATTAACTTTCAAAAGTATAATAGACGATATCAACATAATTTTGGGGGAACTTCTAGATTATAGATATGTGGGATGTAATAAAATAGCAAGTGTTTTCAGTATTTTTGTTGTACAATAAAGACATGCAACTGTTCAAAATAATACTTAAAACACCATAAGAATACAATTATTATATAATAGGCAATTATAATTAAATAGTAAAAATATTTTAAAAATTCCATTGAGAATCTTACAAATTCTTTTTTGAGGGGCACAAAGGCCATAAATATTATTCAAGCAAGTTAAATCTTAAGATAAATAGAAAAACTGAGAGAACTGCATTTAGATATATTAATAATATATTCACTGGAAAAGAATAATAAGTTTGCTTTTCTCTAGCAAAAGATGAAAGGTGTCGTTTATTTTTACAGATGTCATACCTAAAATACATTTTTGGTAGGTTCAGAGACAAATGATACCACTTTAATAGGGAAAAATAAAATATGATATATAAGTATGGATTGTCAGGCAATACACATATATTTAGTCAAAATCTAAAGTAGTGCTGGCTTACTCGCTCTGCAGTATGTTAATTCCAAAACTACATATTAATTTGAAAACCCCAGAATACTGTGTAACTTTCAAAAATTACATCTTTAAATATAGGATAATATTTAGTAAAATGCAAAAAGTGTATTACAAAGGGTCACCAAAAAATGCTAGACTACTAAAAATATATTTTATTATTTAATATAAGCTAGACTAGAAATTAACTCAAAAAGACACTGTGGGATTGGATTTTATGCTAACTCCTAAATGATAAGATATTAATGCATAACACAAAATTTCCCATTTTTCTCAGGAGATAGCCCCAATATAATTTCCCATCAATCCTGAAATACCAGTCACTGAGCTGGGGGTAAGCAGTATTACCTTGTAAATGTAAAAGCACATATTTTATTGTATTACATTGACAAGGTATTTGACATTGCTAATTCTGTATGGTGAAAATCTTTGCTTTTTTTTTCATATGAATAGAGTAAAAGTTATGGGGAAAAAACCCCAGGTCAGGGAAAGGTTTTTGGTTTTCTGATTCCCATGTTCAAAAGGGGGAAATCAAGCAAACCAATAGCTGAAGTGATTAAATAAACAATGGGAGCTTGGGGAAGGGAGACTTACTGGCAGGACGATGTTGTAGTGGATGCAGAACCCTGGCTCTGAAGGGAAGTATTCGTCAGATACAAATCTGATCCTTATCTGGTTTCCTTTTGAGATCTGCTTTCCTGGGGCAGCAGCAGAGCCACACCAGCGCCCTAACACGCTTCCATCACTGGGCTCCTCGACTTCTACAAAATCATACCTGCAAGAGGAAAAGGGAAAGAGCACATCAGGATCATTTATTTTAGCAATCAAATTTCCAGTCTAGAGAGGCATCTGCACCACAGCAATGAGTGCATCTGAAGTTTAACCCAGCAAATATGATTTATGTCCCCAACAGAGAGGCAGAATGGAAAACGAGCTGCCAGTTGAAGAAACAGGAGTCTTCCCTGAAGTCCTCTGCGTCACTGTTCACCAGCTCCAAATGCACTGAACAGGCAGCTCTGAGCCTAAGTACCGTACCAACATTCAGCTCCTGAGTTGCTCAGCTTAGTTTCTACAGGACAGGACCTCACTCCAATCTTATTTCTTCATTGCCGCCCATATCTCGGGCAGCATCTCTTCCATCCTGGGCACACCCTCAGGTGGCTGCCTGCACTCCTCTGGCCTGTGACGAAAGCCTTTCCGAGTCTCCCACCACGCATAAGCCCTTCACAGCCCTTTTCACATCCCTGCCAGGGGTCTTCGGGCTCTTAGCTCACTGACACATTTCTTCTCTTTTTATAAACAGGACTTCAATGCTAATCAATCAATCTATCTATGAATCTCTCTCATCTTCTTAGGTAGTTACATCCTTAAAGAATAAATTCTTACATATTTCTACTTACCACTTTTGTACTACACTTAGTATTGCAAACATTAGAAATAGATATTCATCTTAAACAAATGTTAACTCTGGTTTGGAAGATCAGGATCAGGGTACTTACACAGAGTAGCATTGCCACAAAAGAGGATGTTTGAAAAATCTCCAGAAACATTTCAGGGTAGCTGCATGACTCTGAGTGAAACTTCTGAAAAGTAGGAGCCAGGGTCCAGAATGCTCAAAACAGCACAGTCCTGAAAGTGAGTGTAGGCCCCGTGTCCCCCATGCCTCTCAAATATTTGACTGGACATTTCATTCAGGTAAAAGTTTTTCCATTGTTTATCTGGCTCTGGAACCTAACACCTCACGGCTAGACACGTATGTTTTGAACTGTTTAAGTGTAAGCTAAAATTCCCAGAAATAGCTGTGCAACTGTCACATAAATTAAGAGATTTTTGTATTTTGTTTGTATTTAGCCACTTCTTTTAATTTTTCTAATATAACTGTTAATGTGCACTTATGTCCTGAAATACATTTTTAAAATTCTTTTGTTGGTACATTTTAGGTGTACAATATGTTTACATTTATCATTGGGTGCTTGTACCTGTACATGATGTATCTTAGTTCTTATTTTTTCCCCATTCCCTGTGCACCCTTCACCCCTTCCACCCTTCCCTATTTACATAGATTTCCTTTCCATTTTTTTATTTTCTCATAATTTGAAATACAATACTTTGACATAAATTACTTTCTATTATTTCCAATACAAATAACATTCAGGCCATTATATTTATTTTTTTTAAACAACTGCACATATAAATAGAAGATGATGGCTTCTATGAGATGAGAACACTTTATACAGGGCATGCTGCAAAACTTTTGTTAAAAGTCTGCCGTGTTTGAAAACAATTATTGGATTTTTTTTACAAAGTTAAATTCTAGTGTATACCAGATAACCAAAAAAACCTATTTTGTATAGTATTGAATTCAAAGATAAAAATGGTGCTGAAAAAGGGCAAAGTATATCATGAACCAATCATACTTACAAATCACCCTCCTTACATATTATTCAGAATTCTTTGTGTGACTGGCTCACCTGCATCTGTCTCACCTTCCACATCCACTCATTGAAGGCAGAGACTTCTAACTTATGGAGATATTTTAAATGAGACAGCATACATGCATGAAAACACTGTGGGCATGGGGTTGCAAGCAACAAAGTTGTCTCCCATCTCCAGCCTGCTTCCCTCCTACCCCTTAGACATCTACATTTTAAGATAAACGGGGGAACTTGGAAGCAATGAATAGGAAAATCTAAGCTAAAAGGAGAGCGAATGTCTGTGCTCCATCATACAACATACACCAGCCAGTATCCCCTTTCCTAGAGTGCGTGTGTGTGCGCATGTGCGTGTGTGCGGACGTGTGCGCGCGTGTGCGTGCACAGTGGTGGGGAAGGGTGGAGCATGGGTGGAGGGAGTTCAGTGGAGCTGACTCTAGTAGATGTTTCAGACACAGCTGGCACAACAATTTATAGTTATCACTGTCATCCAATAGTTATTGTCATCGCATGATTAACCACACGAGAGTCAAAACTTCTGTTCACATGATGTCCGTTCCGTGCCTGGGAGGTACACCTGTCTTGTTGGGTTTCACCACTCGTTCTGTGGGTGTTCATGAAGTGCTGACTTGGTATTAATTGCTGTGCTAATGCTGTATGAATAGCATCGCCGGCCTCAGGGTCCATAAAACAGGTCAGCGAGAACCCTACTGAAAGTTCACTGTGCGACAGACACTGTGGCGGCAGCGGAGCAGCTTCACCCGGGAGGCCAGGGTGCGGTCCCTGTGGGCTGGACGTCCGTCCGTGAACACTGACCATCCAGCGGTGGACAGGGAGGTCAGGGGACACGGCTCCTCGCAGGGAGTCACAAAGGTGCGGTGTGGGAACAGAGGAGCGGGAACAAAGAAGCCGCCGGAGACGGAGGTGGAAAAACGGGTGCAGGTGGGAAGGCCTGGTGTCCAAGAGGTGAGAACCACACTTCGTAGGCCAACACTGTCAACAGAAGTGCGCACGGTTTTGAAAGGCCCCAAGTTTCTTTAAAATTCTGTCAATATATTAAAAAATAGAATTTCACAAAAATCTGGATTTGTCTTTTGTTTTAAACTGGGAAATCTGGCAATAATAAATGTCATGGGCTTGTGTAACTCCAGGGCAGCTCACTGCCAAAATGGATGTCAGCTCCGGGAGAGGGCATTGCTGTGTAATTAGCTGCCTTTCCCCAGCTCCTGGGGCAGCACAGACAGACTGCAGTGTGCCGCGAGGCAGGGGACACTCCTAGCCTTCGCGTCCCCTGAGGCGGTGGCTACGCCAGACAGCTGGAGATGAGCCACGTTCTCTTCTTTGGTTCTGTAAGTCCTCACTCACTTTCTGTGCTTCTTCATAAGGCCAAGGCTCTTAATTTATTTACACTGCCAGGCCTGTTTAGCATCTCAGTTTGCTGCCACTGCGACCTGAAGCAAAGTGCTTGGTGACTTCGGGAGGAGGCGGAGGAGACACAGAGTCAGCTCATACTTGGGGAACTCCGGGAAGCAGTGGGGACACCACCTTCAGCGCTGACTCAGAGGGAAAGGAAGAAGGAAGAGGGGATTTCCACCAAAGTGGCAGTGCTCAGTAGACACCAAGGGCCAAGGAAAGATCCAAGAACAGGTCAACATAAAGCATCCATTGGGTTTGACAGCTGTGAAGTCATTTTAAAAAAGCAAGTTGGGCAGACACACTGTATCAAAAATTCTCTCAAGACCATTTTTGAAATAACTATTACAATCTTTCAAATAGGGAAGATATCCTAAGAGAAAAAAATCATATTCCACAAACCAAAATTAACAATGCACACAATTGTTTTATTATACATAATTTTTATTTATATTAAAAAACGTGTTTATTTGAGTTGTACTTCTTTAAATGTACTTAAAAGGGGTTTGTAACCACACAAGAGAATATCTGGGTTTAAGCGCTAAGAGTCTATTAAGGAACAAATAAGTCTCTAGGAATATAGCTCAGTTTTAGAGTGCTTGCTGTAAGGTCTTAAATTTGACCTTGTTAAAACCTCCATACTAATACAAAGACCACTGTCCTGCAAAGAAGAAAAAGGTTGAGTGCATTATTACTTATTTCCTGGAGATTTTGCACTGACTTTGATGCCATTTAGAAATAATCTTTGTTACAATATCTAGATTTACAGCTAGACAGCTGGCAATTAATTCTTACATGCTCATGCAAGTCTGAAACAAACATTTATCAGAGTGCTTTAAAAAAAACCCCATATAGTTTTGTATTCCAAGAAGGTTAAATGAAATGAACATCTAAAAAATTACCATGCTCTTTGTCTATAAAACAGTAAAACAGCATATGCTCCCAACTTTCACAGTAAATGAGGCATTTTAAACTTCTTTCAAAACTACTGCCATGCAATAATATAAGTCTAAAATTCTCTGAATTATTCTTATATGAACATTCTGGCCATATTTAAAAGTATTAATATGTATTTATTAAGGCTTTGTTTTTCCTTAAAACAGCAACTCTCCATGTAAAATGATATGATTGCAAAAACAGCCACTTTTTCCTTTCCTTTTAACTTGAATTGTATCAAGGACAATGCAAAACAGCCCAAAGCTCAGGATGTAGTTCAGCATTAGAGGACTTCTCTCTAGCAGGCCTTGGGTTTGATCTCCATCACCGTAAAAATACAATGAACAAAATAAAACAGATCAACTGAAGACCTACCTGGGAACTATGTCCATGCTTCATTTTATTACCTTACAATTAAAAAAAAAAAAATATATATATATATATATGATTGCCATCTGATTTCATATTGCCTTTCAACTTATAAAGGACATAGAGCAAGGCTGGGAAAAGAATAATGCATTAAATCCAGGCATCTTCCCTAATAATTTGAAGGTTTTTTCCTGACAGAATGCCATTTGCAGAATGTGTGATTCCTGCAAATGTTCCTTAGTGGATGTACTATAAATGCAGCATATCATCAAGTAGAAAATGAAGAGAGAAAATAATGGTGAAAACCCTAACTGTAGTTTGTGAAAGGAAATGATTAAAGCAAGCAAGATGTGACACATAAAATGCAGTCACCCTTAAACTGGGAAACCTGCACATGCTCAGGTGACTCTCCTGGAGACCGCGAATCCCTCCAGTTCACTGCTGGGTATTAGTTTTCAAGGAGCCCAAATGCCCACATCAGTATTTAAAGGATTTACTAAGCCTGCTTCATGAGCCAGTCACCCAGCACTTTCTCATGGCAACATGATACAGCACACAGCGCTAAGTGGTTTACAATGATCGCTCCCTTTCTCTAACCTACCCCTGGAGACTCACTGAGGATTTA